TGGAAAAAGAGGCAATCTTAAACTCCAGATCCTAACGACTTAAATATTCTCACTCCCGGACGTTTTACCACTTTACCATAGCCACTTTCAATGCGTTGTCAGGCGACGAGCAAGCATTATCAAACAGAATACAATCAGTTTCTAAACATAAATAAACCTTACAGTGAAACCTGTGAATGGGTGATAACATGATAATAGTATTAAATGCTGCCATAACGCGAACCAAGAGCGTCGGACCTATGGTTGTGTCGGCATACTCATCGGGTGATAAATACTGCTGTGTAAACAATGTCGGTTTGGACGTTGAGGTCACCTGAAGTGAATACGGTCGTTTAATTACTAATCAAATACCATTTCAATTCATTTAATTTTTCTGGTGATTCCTTATGGCTAAGCACAAAACGATTTTGCGTATCTAGACTGTACAATGTGTTTGTTTGTGATTAGTTCCTAGAATTATTGATGATAGGAAAATGTTACCTCATTTTTCTTTATCAATTGTTTTATTAATTCATTTATGTAACAGGTCAGATTTGATTTATTGGGTATTTCCTTTGTTTTATAAAAGATTGGTGAAATTATGTAAAAGTAAGGATGCTTTTTAAGAGGAAAAACACCGTTTGGTTTCGTAGAAGATGTTGTATTTTAGAAAAGATAATTCCACGTAAACTCTGCCTATTTGACTGAAGAATACGTCCTGTAGCGAAGCTTTGATTGCTGTCTCGAGTTGCCAAGCTGAGGTAATTGGTTCAGAAATTTAGATTTGTTTAAGGCTGTTCTTTGGAAATTTAAAAGACGCGCGTTTCTACATTCAAGTTTGTTGGCGAAGTTTTTTGCTTTTATTCGTTTCAACAGATTCTTTGATCGTTAAAAAGAAGTCAGTACGTGCTAATCAAGAGTCCAGCCAAGTTGGAGTTAAAGTTTTATAGAAATTGATCGTAATATTTTTGGGATATCAGTTTTCATTGAAGTTGTTGTCCACGTTAAACGGACAGCAAATGTTGTGTGCTCAGAGTTTTATTGGGATTTGTAACCAAACACTGTAATGGCCGTTTGCACCAACAAGATTAAGCGCAGTTTAAAATCCATGGCAACCATTGTCGCAATATTCGTTACCATAGATTTTAAGCTACGCGTAAACTAAACCCCGCTTAAATTTGTCGATGCAAACGGTCATAAGTAATCTAAGATTCATACGTGATCCATAATGATCGATGCTGCTGACTCTTCAGACAAGATTGCTGGGGAGCGGCTAGCTACTCGTCTTTAGGTTGAAAGTTTTTCAACATCGATGAGTCCCAGCGCAATCATGGGTGAGATGGTTCGGTCGATTGAGGCGAAATCCTGATCTGAACCATATCCTTGGCCATGGACTCGTTTACGCCTAAAAGCAGGACCGCCTTTCCGTCCTGTTGTGTCTCGCCACACTTCTGGAGAGACGCTAGAGTGCGTAAACACTTTGAAATAAACTTATCCCGGGGCGTAATAATTATTCCTCGTCAAAATGCTAACAATGCATCTAATTTTTTATGTACCCTCACAAAAAAAATCTCAATGTTGACTAAATTTCTCAACTGGAGAGACTCGGTGGTCTCAGCTTCCGAAAATTCCAAAGAATTTATTAAACGACCTGAGATAACTCGTGGGAACGAATCGAAAAAATCTGACATGAAAGCCGTATCTGGGTCGCACAATGAATTCGAATAAACACAATTGTGATTGACAATTTATTCCAAAACACACAAAAACAAATGAAAATAAAATCCCCGAAAGAAGAAAAAGCTTACAAAGCTTGTTTGGACATATTACGCCGCACGCAAGCGGTCGACAATTAAAATAAGAAATCCTTAAATTACTTACAGTTTTTTTTAATAATCCAAATAATCTGGTCGTACAAGATTTGCGATACAAGGTGCATTTAACTCACACAAACGCCGACACCTTCTGAACTTCACTTATAACACAGAACTAGATGTCAAATAAAACTGGTTTGATGAATAAGACAAATTTTCGGTGGCTGTTCGGAAGGTGAGGAACTTATAATAAAAAGAGAGCCTTAACAAAACTATCCGTAATCGGACAACACTCGATAAACTGTTCAGACAACTATGGCTAACTTGCCTCTGCACAGATTTATTATGACGAACTCTGTGTCTTCAACAAAACAAATACCTAGGGCTGACTGCCCGTAATTTAACGTAAACAAATGTACACGCTGTTTTACCGTCGCGAAAAACTAACAGCAGCAGAGGCAGCCCCGTTTGCGCATTGTCTCCAGTATTTAAAGTACCATAAATAAGGACGGCAAAGCTTTTCTTTACCTTCGATTCAAATTTCCTAACTTAAATGATGCAAAAGTAAAAGAGGGCGTGTTTGTCGGGTCTCAAATACGAAAGTTGTTCAAAAAGCCCCAGTTTGATGCAGTTTTACGTATAGCAGAAAAAAATTCGTAGATAGTTGCAACAAACTGCTGGAACCCTATACAAAATTGAAGTGCAACATGTGTAGGTACACATTATATGCATTTCTTATCTTGACTTATTCCTGCAGGATCATCCAACGCAAAACTCCCCAGGAACTTTACAAGAGAAAAACAAAAAGACGCCGTTCTTAATCGATTTGGACTTTTTTTGATGTTTTCAAAATGTAATCTTTACTTTTTAAATTTTAAATAGGAGCACGTTTTTAAAGTGATTTACTTCACTAACAAATAATAAATTTGCACTAGTGAAAATTAAATATGTGCATTTTATTCTCATTTAATGAATCCGATTTGAAGAAAAAGCATTTTATAAATTGTTTCATTAGAAAAGTACCTGGCATCAAATAAACTTTCCAATTAAGTTGACGTGATTTTTTTTAAAGTGAACATAAGGAGAAATGGATTTTATGTTCACTTTTAAGAAAAGCACGCTGTACACATAATAAATAACACACGGGTGAATAAATTTAAAACCGTACTTCATTTCAATACCACCATGATAAGTGAAAAGGAAAGCCTCGGTAACTAACTAAAATAGCAATACATCCCTTGTCGTGTACAATTGCTCATATACATACATTGAAATGCCAATACCGATTAGTTCATGCGTTTGTTGGCGTATTGTGAAAATGGTGATAAATATTTTATTATTGCCTTTTAATGCAAATTAGGCAGAAAGGCGAAAAAATACACCAACCGCATTCATATTATCCGATCTAGCCGGTAGTACTTCTAATGAGATCATATTTTACAGAGAAAATGAAAGGAAACTTTATAATGCTCTTTTAATTCAACTTTGAGTTTTTTTATTCTAGCTGAATCTTGGCCAAGTTTTTTCCTCTCTGAATATAGATTTCGTCAAAGCGTATAATTTGTAAAGAACGAGGGGATTTTATACTGATTCTATGCATCGAGTGAGATTTACAACATGTAAAACTATACCTGATAAACTTTGTCAACTTTTCGAAAGTCATTTAAATGTGAGACTTTTGGGATTCTATCCAAACATTACGAGAACAGAAAAAGTTGATAAGATAAAAGTATATGTCGGGATACCTGTCAGTCTAACAAAAACAAACACCCTACGTGTTGTGCGCAAATACAGTATGCACCTTGAATACAAAATATACATTTCATTTTATAAGAAAGCATCCGAGGGGGCTGCTAGATTTCGAATATGGAAAGGTTAAAGCGAGTAGAATATTTTGGTTCGTATATAACATTTTTGGTGAATGAGTGGGTGTACCTTTTTCGTGCCATCCTTACGGTTCGATACCGCTTATCCGAGATCCCAGCCAAATTCCCTGGACGGTGTCATTCAACGCGGTTGTCTCATATTGCAAAAAAGTAGACAGCTTTATACAGACCATTACTTATCTAATACTTTTTGTTTCGAAAGAACTGAATAAGAAACTCATAATTCCAAATAAAATTCGTGACAGTTATGTAATATATCACAAGGAAAAATATCAATTTATCACGGAATATTTTGATAATTACAAGAAAATCATAATAGTTTTAACGGATCTATAGGTAGCAAATGCAGCTTTAGTATAGGCGCAGTATGTCAAAATCCGAAATGACGATGTTAAATTTAATGTAGTTGCTGAAATGACAAATTATGCTAATACCGATTTAGAACAAGAACAATTTTCGTTCATTCTTGACAGCGATGTCCGAAACAGTCTGTTAGAAATCCTACCGCCCTAAGCATTATAATTAAATTTCTAACGGATTTAAATAATTTTCAACATATCTATGTGATTTCGGAATATATTTGAAGAGTGTTAAAAACTCACCACTAAAAATCGAATGTGGCACCCTAATATACAAGGCAATTATAAGACCTGTCCTCACATACGGTTGCCCAATATGGGGTAATGCAAGCGGCACGCAACTGAATAAAATTCAAGTTTTTCAAAACCGAGTGCTTAGAATTATCGTAAACGCTCCATGGTACGTCAGGAATGTGCAAATCCACCGAGAAACCGGGATACCGCTCGTAAATGCTTTTATTAAAACGCTGTATAAACAATACAACACTAAACTACGCATAAGCCCAGCCTGTGAACACTATAATCTAGGAATAAAAAACCTACATACCCGCCTGAAACGAAGATTACCACAGGATATTTACTTATCGGATGGAGATAGTGGATAAACAGTAAATAATTAATAAACAGTAACGAATAGTGAATATAAACACATAGTGCTTAAAACAGTGAAAGATTAATACCTGTGCTACAAGCCTTGAAATAGCCAAATTTGGCTGAACGGGCTTAATAGAATTGTGAAAAAAAAAAAATTTATCAGAAGCATAAATGTCGTTGGGAGGAAAATGGGCTCAAAATGAAAAAGTTAATTATATGAAAAGATAGGGCGCCACAAACTTTTACCTATTCGGTAACAAAGTGACAAAGGCGATTATTAACATTTTTTCGATAGAAATCTTTTCACGTTATCGTTTTGGGCTAATCTTGAGCTAGCTTTACCATATCGTACTCTTACTCACTTAATTAATAAAATCAAGTATAATAAAAACCTATAATGTTATTATTTTCTATGGGCTATCGATTTCGCCTTATAGGGCTTCATCAGGCCGTAGCTGAAATACATATATATGGTGAACGCGTGAATTTTTAACAATTTATCTTACCGTCTACTGAATTACGTTTTTTAACAAGATGGAAATGTATGATGTAAATGTCCATATTTTTATATAAAATTGAATGATGTATGTGTCTGTGTGAGCGCTGAAATTGAATTAAAGGATAGTAAATCATATAACAGAAATAAATTAATTACTTACATGTATTAAGTGCAGTGTGTGTGTATCAGTATGTGAGGTTATGTATGAGGCAGTGGCGTGTTATGTGAATGGGCAACGTATTTATACAGATGATTATCATTGAATTCAGTTATGTCATTTATTAATTTGAAATTAGGATCTTGTAACGCTTTGTGAATTTCATAGTGTTCTAGTATTGTTAATTTCTTGTAATTGTTGGTTTTGTGTAGAATTTTTGTATTGTCTATTGATATTGTGTGTTTTGTGTTATTTATGTGGGTACCTATGGCTGAATGTGGTTTGTTTTTGTTGTGTTCGGTGAATCTTGTTAGAAATTTTCTTGTGGTTTGTCCTATATATATGCAGTTGCAATCGTTACATGTGATTTTGTATATTCCTGATTGTAAATAATGTGGTTCCTTTGGTTTGTAGTTGGTTAGAATCTTTTGTAATGTAGGGTGTGTGGTGTTAGTGAGGGTGATGTTGTAGGGGTTTAGTGCTTTTTGTAGGTGTGTATGTATGTGTTTGTAGTATGGGATGGTTATGTATTTATTGCTGTATTTATGATGTGGATATATGTTTTTGAGCAAATGTTTGTATTTGATTCTTTTAAAAATGTTATTAATGAGGGTAGGTTTGTAGTTGTTATTTTGAGCTATTTGAAGGATCGTGTTGTATTCGTTATGAAAATCTAATGGGTTTAGGGGGGTGTTTAGTAGTCTATTAAAGAGGAAGTTGAAGGCGGCCATTTTTATGTTAGGTGAGTGATAGGAGTTGTAGGGTATTATAACATCAGTGGTAGTTGGTTTCCTGTATATATTGTATGATATGTGGTTGTTATTGTTATATAGAGTGATGTCTAGAAAGTTAAGTGTGTTATTTGATTCTGTTTCTAATGTAAATTTTATGTCTGAAATATTGTTAATAGTTGTGTGGAAGTGATGAAGTTGTTCTATTGTCCCAGTCCAAATGACAAATATGTCGTCTACATATCTTAACCAGGTGGTAACATGTTTGAAATTTGGTAGATTTTTAATTCGAAGTTCAAGGTGATCAATAAAGATGTTTGCTAATAGTCCACTTATGGGATTTCCCATAGGTAGACCGTCTTCCATTTTGTAAGTTTTATTGTTAAACATGAAGAAATTTAAGTTTGTGACATGTTGAAATAATTTTAGTAGAATATTGATGTCGATTGGATCGAGGTTGTAGTTTTTTCTGAAATCATCGTTATCATATAACAAATCTGAGAGTATCTGTAGTGTTTCTGTTTTAGGAATATTAGTGTACAAGTTTACAATGTCGAAAGATATCATTGTGAATGTTTTGTGTTGGAGTTGTAGTTTGTTAATTTCTTGAATGAGTTGATTGGAGTTTTTTATGGATTGTGTGGATTTGTATTTAAATTTATGTATCATGATGTTGTTTAGTAGTTTAGCTAAGTTGTGTATGGGTGAGTTTGTTGATGCTGTAATTGGGCGGATTGGTTTATCTTGTTTGTGTAATTTAATTAAACTGTAAAGGATCGGAATTTTTGGGTTTCTGTTTTTTATTGTGTATGGTGTGTTTGTGAATTTATGTAATGTGTGTTGTGATTCAAGTAATATTTTGTTTGTGATTTCTATATATTTATTGATTGGATTGTGTTTTATTGTGTTGATGTTATTATCTGAAAAGAATTGTTCCGTTTTTGATATGTAGTCTTTGGTTTCGATAATTACCAAACCTGCGTTTTTGTCAGCGCATGTAACTGTGAGGTTGTGGGTTTTGATTTTTTGTTGTAAAGTTTTTATAGTGTGTGTAATGTTTTTATAGGTAGTGTTAGGAGTGTATTGTGATTTACTAACCTTTTTGTTCAGGATTTTAATGACGTTTTCTTTGGCGTGGTTGTATGCTGGAAGATGTTTTAGTGGAGCTTCAATATCTATGGAAATGAGATGAGGTGAGTAACAATTAGGATGTGGTGCGAATTTGTGGCCTAGATTTAAGATTTGTTCTTCTTTTTTGCTTCAGCTACGGCCTGATGAAGCCCTATAAGGCGAAATCGATAGCCCATAGAAAATAATAACATTATAGGTTTTTATTATACTTGATTTTATTAATTAACACGACAAAGCCTATCAGTTCTATATAAATCACATCTTACTCACTTATTCAGTGTCTTAGAACAAACCGTCAGCTTCAGACCTATAGGTGATGATGTAATAGTTATTTATGTATTAAGGGCATAATAGTGATGTTTATATTCTCGAGGGCGACGAGTTAAAAAGCTCGAGGGTCTATGGCCCGAGAGCTTTTTAGTCGCCCGAGAGTATAAACATCAGTTTATGCCCGTGGTACATACACAGTTTTATGTTTTACAAATAGTTTTCTTCTTCAAAATTCGTTTACAAAATAATTCATTATGTTTGATCGAGTATGCGTGGTTCGAATTTGTTAATGTGATTGAAACCATCCAAACGTCAAACGTAATTTTAAATAATTCAATTCATCGTGAATGAGCAAGAAGTTCCAGAAACTATACGAAATAAGGCCAATCTTGTGATTTAGTAGGTATTGACAATTAATAATTGACGTTTCTAATTTTCAATGACCTGCAAATATTTGTTTGTTTTGTCATTAATTGCATGTTAGGATCTATTTTTATTAATTTGGAACTTTTTTTGTTTAGTATAGATTACACTGTACACTACTATAGATTCTATTGTGTATTAGAATTGGACGATACGCCTGTAGGGCAATAAATAATTAGAATTAATTAATTAAATTAAACAAGTTAAGTTGCAGTGAATCGCAACTTTCCGATAGACGCATAAAAGGTACCGGGTCCATTTTTATGAAAAAAATCATTTTTGAAACGTCTTCAGGTGCAGGAATCTTTTTGATTCTAATCGTATGCTATGAACCACCCTTTAAAAGCCACTCTCAGTCTGTTCAACGAATGCTTTTGTTTTCAAGCCACTGTTGGGTGGTAGCGGGGATCAAAACAAGCACTTTTTCCAAATAAACCGAGGGTCCAATGTGTTTCGTTTGGGAGCCACCCTCACAAAAGTGGTGAAATTTGCTTAATTTTTTTCTCGGCAACCATAAGAATTAGAAAAACTGGTGGCACGTCTTTGAATGCCCTTTCTGATTTTGCAAAAATGTGTTCAACATTCTTATCACGAAAGGGCGCGAAAAAAATTCTGATTTCGACGAAATTGGGCATCTGGTGGCTTTTGAACATGAAAATCACAAATATAAAATTAGTTTTTTTAAATTCGAAAAAAAAAAATTCCAATGCAATTCTTGGTAGGACAACGAAAATGGAGAGAATTCCACGAAATTCGTTGTGTACAGAGTGGCCAAATAAGAATGCGAGGTACTGTATCTGGGAACCTGTCCATTGTAGAGGCTTGCGGTAAGAAAAGTTATTAATAAAACGGCCACGAGAAAAACCTGTGAAATGGCCGCTAGGGGGCGTAACTGCAATCTGGAATCTAAAAAAGTTATGTTTCTGTCAATTCCGCTATATTAACCTAACAAAAAAATGCCCGGTCTTGAAGTCGACGATATAGTTCAGGCAATAAAGAACATATGAGGACCTTAGCTTGCAAAATTAATGGTAGTTCTGGAAATATGCTTACTTTATGTTTTTTAGGTTGCTGAATCCAAATTTTTAACTTCCCACCAAAAATTCCCTCCGCAACCCTCCAAAATCTTGAAAATAAGAAAAAAATATGTTAAGAAATCGTTTTTATTTTGTGGTTTCACGAATAAAATACCTACAAATTTTTAAATGTAATATAGAATGCATCCAAAAACGTCCTAAAACATGGTTACGTACTACGCACGTAGGGGGCGCTGCCGTGCGTTGAAGTATGCTCATTGGCGATTCAGGCGCACTTCGCTTAACAACCCACGGCGTTCGTGTTCGCTCTCCCTCCACCAACCCTGAACCTCCAACTTTTCCCCACCCATTTTCAGACAGACAGAAAACATAATACAAGCCTATGTCCAGAACTACCCTGAATTTTGCATCCTAAAATGAAATATTTCCTGGACTAGATAATTTGAACCTTTTTTGTTTGACAATTATTGCTGTATCTCTTAACAATGAAGTGGTGGGGGGTATTCAAAGGTTGTATCTTCGAAACGGTTGAGCCGATTTTAACAAACTCGGGTTAATCGAAAAGAGTGATCCTTCGGCTACAAATATTATAATATTTAAAGTTTTGATAGTTTCACATATCGCCGCTTGAGGGCTTTTATCGAAATGTTGTCAACACCACCAATCTCCATTTTTTGTTCCGTTCATCTCCTTCAGAAATAGAGCAAGCCCGTCTTCTAGCCCTACAAGAAAAATAATCGGGTGCCCTGCCCTCCGCTGTTCTTAGAACTCTTTTAAATGATTCATCTTTTAGAACTTCGATGTGCGTCCGTTTGGGTATATCTGTCTGTGTGCCACTTTTTCCTTGCTCCTATCGATATTTGGGTTATCATAGCCTCTCTTGTCTCAGGAGTGCTGGGTGAAGATCACGACATGATACGATTAATGGTATTAGTAAACGCGTTCTGACTTCTGCAGAAACTGCAAAAATTCCGACTACTTTCGGAGATGTCCGGAAAAAAAACGAAATTTTGCAAAATCGTTTTTATTTTTTACTGGTTATTTAACAAAATTTTTCAAAATAAATGATACATTATGGCCACTTTTTTCCCTCTACAAAGATGCTAGTTTTAAATTTTAAATACGACGTTTCGTCTTCGGTTAACCATCATCAACATTGTTGTTTCTTATGGAACTAATTTTTTACTTTTTGTGCCTGCCATTTGATAGAGAATTTTTTTCTGATTTCAAAAATCATCACAATTTTTTTAATATTGTTAAAATATCTTCTGGTTTGGCTAGAAAAGTTTGTATTGGGTAGTGTTTGTACGTAGTTTCTTGCGTTTTTACGAATTAATATTGCTATTTCTGATTAAAAGATAGTGATGTTTACATTTTTGAAATCAAAATCTCGTATCACTTGGCACAAAAAGTAAAAATGACTTCTACAACAAAAAAACAAAGTTGATGATTACTGGAGACCTCAAACTTAAAATCTAAAAGTAGCATCTTGTAGAAGGAAAAAAGTGGTCATAATAATGTGTCATTTATTTTGAAATATCTTTTTTAATAACTTCAGTAAAAAATAAAAACGATTTTTGCAAGATATTCGAAAGTAGTCGGAATTTTTTGTTTCAAAACTGCTTTTCATCATTGAACATGGCGCTAGATTTTCAGAAAACACATGTAAAAACAAAATTGCCGAAATGATGTCAAGTTTACGTAAAATACACACGTAGTGAAAAGCATTACAGCACAGATAATTTGATAAATGTAAATTCGCGCATGTAATTATGCGGCTGGCGGAACCAAAACAAACCAATGCAAATAAGCTCGTCTACAATATTCGACAGTCAACGTTACTTTCAAATGAGTAGAGTGTAATAATAAACTTTGCTACAATATTCATAGCGCATATAATAAAATCTTGTTGTAGAAGATGTAAATATACGACACTATTAATTATAAAGTATGCTGCACCTAAACCCTTTTAGCACTCAACAGATTCATGAAATATTCAGAAAATCCGGGTCTTAATCAGTATATATGTTGTTAGAGAGCCTTTAAATACGCTACACGTACTCTTAGATGTATTCTGATACTCTCCATAGACCTACACAGTAAAGTGAAATTGTATTTCCCTTAATGTCCATTATCTCTGGTAAATCCTTTTTGCGCCCACCAGCATAGTAAAACTTTAAGTGGCAATAATCACAATGTTGATGTAACAGAATCTTGCCATTAGGAAAAATGTTTGTATTAATCAAACGCGGTTTGTTTATAATGAAAGAAATACACTTCTCTAACATTATCAAGATTAAAACAATTGATTTATTTACTGACAAAACTTAAAACTAGGCGGCACGTCCAACATTTTATACATGAGATTTTAGTCTAGATATAAAAATAGGCGCTCTTTACGTGTAATTTATATGTAGTACACTTATCGCGATCCCCCTCTATATTTCATAAAACACGCACATTTCGGAAACTTGAAACACTTGTATCAACGTAAACAATTATTCTCTTAATTAAGTTTATATATTATATGGTCTCTAACGTTTATGACTTACAATCTTCAAAATCAAATTTTGGTCTAACCTGAGAACAACCCTTCCCTTTTGGGGGAACCAGCAAGCAAGC